CCCTCCAGCGTCATGTCCCCCCCCCACCTCCCCCCCCCCGTCAGTATAATCCATCCTGCCCTTCTCCTACTTTTCTTCCTCTCTTGCTTTCGCAAATGTTTCTCTCCCGTTTCTCTCTCTCGTCATGTGTATCCTTCCCAGACTTTCACTCGTTGTAATTACCTTTCAGCTTTAACACACATACACCCCACATCACCCGTAAAGACTTCTAACGCCCATTACTGCAAACACAGAGATCCCTCCAGCGTCATGTCTCCTCTCCAGATCAATACGTGCTCATGGATCAGCTCCATGTTGGCAAGCTGAGGTAATTGGGTACTTATCAAAAAGAAGGGAGTGATGAAGACGAAGATGTACACATTAAAATTACAGGACTAAGAATACAACACAGACACACTGACAGCCTAGAGAACTTCTACAGGCAACATGTGCAGTGGAAGGATTGACATTGAAATATCTGCCTGTTCCCTTCTGTGAGCTCTTTTTCCTCTTGGCAACACAATACTGTTGGAGTTCCCTCCCTCTCCGTTTAATTAACTGCAAACTGTTTTTTTTTTTCTTTTTTTGTTAAAGAGAGCGTGCACACACACACACACAAACACACATGCACTTTCAGCAACACACAAAACAGACTTTTGTTCCAAAGATAAAAGAAGGCACTGGGGACAGACGATTGCCGTGTGCACGCGCTTCTGAAAGGAAGTAAAAGGAGAAGAAGAAAAAAAAAATCTCGTCAAAATTAAATCAGCTCCCTCAACAAAAGTTTGATAGACAGAGCTTTAGGGCCCTTTATACTGGATCAGAGTGGGGGAGCGGGGAGGGGGGAGCGCGGAGGGAAGCCGCAGGGCCTTTCGGCGCATGAAAACAATATATGATCTCAGGGGGAAGCCAGATGTGATTACAGCAGAAGAGGAGGCAGATAGAGGAGCGCTGCCCACTTTGTGTCCAGGGAAAGATGAGGCCGAATGTAGAGTAAAGACACGCAAATCCTTTTAGTGTGTTCCAGAGGAGAGGTGAGGTCTGGCAGCGCTTACAAACTTATGTCAGTGTTGATGTGGGGACGCCGTGTTGTCTCTTTAGTGGAGCGGGTCCACTCTGATCATTTTCGTCTTTCTTTCATGACTCCGTTCTTATCAACAGAGGCAAAGGAAATGAAATCATGCTGTAGCCTTGTACCATCTGCAGGTAGGACGTTTGAGCAGGCTTAAGCCGGGCCAATGACTTCTGTTAAAAAAAACAAAAAAGGAGGGGAGGGTTTGTTCCCATTATCATGGTTAAATATCCCTTTTTTTTGCTTAATTAGATCAATTCTGCAGTCTGCACACTGTGCACTTATTTGAGGTAAACATGTGTCAACTAAACACATGTCCTCCGTTAATCAAAAGCAGCGTTCCACAGCAGCCGCGCCGCCGAGGCCGCCTGCGCTGCAGATGTGCCTGCATTCTTTTTTTTCTTTTTTTCTTTTGTTTGCCGGCTTCCTGAAATAATCAGCCGCTGATCAGCCAATGGCAATTTTGCCGAGAAGGCAAATAACTCGACCTGATTAGCCAGCCGGCCATTAATCACTAGTTCAAAGTGTCTGACAGCTTCTGTCTGGCTCTGACTTAAAGAATGTTGATGGTATAGTTTACACATTAACCTGATATACGATTTTTTTCTTTAAACAGACACAGCGCAGGTGATTTGCCTTACAAACCAATTAGATTTATGGTAAAAGATTTATAGATATATATGAATTTAGTAAAACGGTGACATCTTAACAAGTTTTTCTTGAGTTTTCCTTTTTCCAGAGACATCAAGAATCTATCAAATCCAGCATCTGTTCCGTCAGTCTTCTTACTGCTAACCTGAGCTTCTATGATTGTTAAAACCTCTGACGTGTCGTCTGTTGTGTGTTTTTCCGGCAGAACTCCATGAAGGTGATGTTCAAGTGCCTGTGGAAGAATTGTGGCAAAGTGCTGAGTACCACCGCCGGCATTCAGAGACACATCCGCACCATCCACCTGGGGTAAGGCACCTCTAAAACAGCCATGCCGCCCCCTCTCTGACCCTCCACTGTCTGAACAGCAGCCAGATGTTTGATGGATTTTCAGCGCTCTGACACCGCCCCTCAGGTCCCAACCAGTGAGGAGCAAACGAGAGGGGTGGTTGGCACTTATCAGATGAATTGAGATTTGAATTGGCAATGAGTCTGCACTGACGTGGTTGCCATCATTCAACTCCCGTCTCCCCCTCCAGGCGTAACTGCGACTCGGACTGCAGCGACGGCGAGGAGGACTTCTACTACACAGAGATCAAGCTCAACACGGACTCCGTGGCAGACGGGCTGAGCAGCCTGTCCCCCGCCTCGCCATCCGTGCTCTCTCCCCCGCCCCCTCCCCCGTCTCCCCACCCGCCCCTCAGCCAGGCGCCGGACCCCCACCGACCCCCGCAGCCCTCCGACGCCAAGGAGCCCCACGCCGGCGGCACCACCCCGCTCAGCCGCTCGGCGCCCAGCGCGCTCTACCTCGTCCACACGGACCACGCCTACCAGGTCAGCGCCGGCCGTTCCCCGGCCAAACTCGCAGAGCGAGCATGTGGGCTCTCCCACAGCGCCTCCGCAGCGTTACCAAATAAAACCCACGATTTTCACAGCAGCTGGTGGTCCCGTTCGCCTTTATTTTTATGTCAGGACGTACAAGCAGCAGCAGCTTTCAGTGATTAGCGCCGGGCGGTTCTTAAACAAATCAAACCCAATTACAGGGGATTGTTTGTTAGATAACCACCAGTGTTGGTTAATAGTCCTCCTTCATTAATATTAATCTGTACATCTGATCTCACACAGAGGTACATTAATAAATTAGGGTGGATTTCACAAAGAAAGGGGAAAGGAAAGCCAAAAATCCTCAGACAGGGCAGATGGTAAAGAGAGTCGAATCATAAGTCACTAACCGACTAATCAACAACTTTTAACTGTAGTGAAGCTTACTCCATGTGCTTAATGCCCATTGGATGTGTTCCCCCCAGGCCACAGCTCCAGTGTCAATCCCATCCAACGGCAACAACTCGGTGGGCTCTCCCTCCACCAGCTTCACCCCCACCAACAGCTCCAGCTTCAGCATCTCCTGGCAGTCGCCTCCCGTCACTTTCACAGGGAACACGGTGAGGAATCGTGAACCCCCGAACACCCCCCACACATACGAGTTAATCACTCCTTTTCTGCTTTTAACGATCCCAATAACTCTCTCTTCAGGTTTCTCCCAGTAAAAGCCAGGGATTTGGAGAGCAGCGGTCGCACACCATCGCTGTGCTTTCTTCTCCTCCGAGAGCCACCGCTGCCCTCAGGTATAAGAACCCCCTCCCCCCGTCCCCCAGCGTGTTTCATTGGAGGCTTGTTTATACTTTAATTACAGCCTGAAAACAAGGAAGCCAGGTACCAGAAATGGCTCATTTACATTTGATGGAGCAAGAAGGAGTACTCACGTTAGCACGGTGGCTCCTGAGTAATAGCTGTGTTATTTCAAATGTTTTTCTGTCCCTAATTTTGCAAATTGCTATTAATGAATTCATAATTACTAATTAGTAATGATATATTGACTGCTTGGAAGTTAGTTGCTTTTGACATAGTGCTCCGGGCTCTATGTCTGGGCTCCGTTTTTTGACAGAGTCACCGTCGATTCACAGCCTTTTTTAAGCACAGCGCTTTCTTCTCTTGTTCCTCTTCCTCTCCAGTCGCAAAGTGCGCGGCGAGGGGAAGAAGTGCCGCAAGGTGTACGGGATGGAGAACCGCGACATGTGGTGCACCGCCTGCCGCTGGAAAAAAGCCTGCCAGAGATTCACCGACTGAAGGCCCCCCGACAGACCCAACGGGCAGCGCCCTCGTCGGCCAGAGGGGGGGCCCAGGGGGTCATTCTGCATGCATTTGGTTCTCCTCAGCTATCCGCTATGGTCCCCCCCCCCGCCCCCCCTCCTTTTAATCACCCCCGTCCTAGTCCACCGAATCATTCCAGCAAAGCAAGCGAAGGAGTCGCTTTTTATATTGCCGTCCTGGATTGCTCCTACTGCCTCACTACCCCCCCTCGTTCCCACTTGTGGGAAGCCCTAGTGCAGCTAAATGGTGTAAAAATAGATTTCTGCTTTTTTCTTTTTTTCTTTTTTTTGTGTACTGGTTCAGTGTTGCATCTCTTTCTATTTTGTGAAGCTCTGTTTTTTTTAAATGGGAAGTCTTGTCAAAGCAGAGGTCCAGAAAAAAAAGCTTGTTTGTGTTTGTAAAAAAAACAAAAAACACTTTTATAAACCCAAAACTGGAGTTGGGCCTGTTGAACATTATGAGAGAACGAGGTGAGGCTTTTATGTTTGTTGTTTTATTATTATTTTTTTGCTTCTTTGCTCTCCCCTCAACTTGATCATGTCTTTGTTTAAATTCTGGACTGTTCGGGGTGAACTTTCAGCGCCCTCATCACGCTTCTCCTCCACGCTTCTCCTCCACCCTCAGTGCCCCCCTCCCCCCTTTTAAAGGGAATGTCGCGCAGGCTGAGGGGTCATCACAAGGAGGAAGAGAGACCCACGGGTGAATGATCAATGCAAAAAAACAGATGCAGTTTACCGTCAGGGAAAGCAGGTGGACCATACCGCACACAATGCAGCAGCATTCACAGACACGAGGGACTCCACGCAAAGGATCGTGTCCCTTTTTATCCAGTTTCGTCAGGGATGGGATTGTGAAGAAAGCAAAAACCAGCAGCTTGGACTCGGGTTTGTTTATTCTGTTTTTTTTACTATATGCAGCACTATCTCAGCAGCTTCTCCTTCAATACATCAGACAACTTTGCAACCAAAAGCGTCTTTGATTTGGATGTTTTGTCAAGGTGCCATTTTTGTTTGCTTCTATTCCCTCTTGTTGTCGGGAGACCACGGTGACACCACTGGAAATTAACAGCCGGCGACGCCACGAAAGGATGGAAACGTCTGGAGAGTCAGATAGGCCTCGTCCCACAAGTCCTCGCCCACCGTTCCCAAGGAAAACCGGACACAAAAAATGGTTCCTTTGTTTACAAATGCCAGAGGTGTGTTAACCAGAAGGTGAGGGCCGAAGAACCAAAAGTGTCTGTGTGCTTATAAACCACTATCTTCACTCTATCCAGTAATAATTACAGTCCATTTTCCTCCATGCCTCCTTCTCCAACCATTTCTTTTCCTTTATGGAGAAGAGTGGGGAGGAAGTTGGAAGCTGGGATGGGGTCACTCTCTGTGGTCACTCTGCAAACTTCTGGCTTGAGCTTTCCCCATGAATTTTCCCTCTTTTTTTTTCTCTTTGTGTGTTTCATACGAATGCGTTCTTTTGAATCTCAGCCTCCTTGTTTACTCCAAAGACGGGAAACAAAACGATACAGCTTCAAAGTTTACAAAAAGAGCGTGGGCCGGCCTCTGGTCAGCGGGGCTGCGGCCGGCTGTTGCGTAAACGCGCTGAAGCCCAGACGTCTTCTCTGTCCCCGCGACTGGCTGTTGTATTGCACGCTGTGATCTCGGTTTGCTAATCTGTCTAACAGAAAGCATTTTACAGCAGCTCACCTAAACCAACACCAGCTGATAAACTCGCGTTCGATAGGTTTTGACACAGAAACTTCACCACCCCGCAAATCGTAGCCCTTACGTTTACTCCTGTGCTGTTTATTTTGTTTTTGTTTGTTTCTGTATATATGGAGTTGTCATATTATCTCCAAGCTCCTCTCATTGGCTCGATCAGCACGTCTGACGCCTTGTCATGAGCAAGGCATTATTTGAGCTGATGTTTTGTGAGGAATGATGTTCCATCTGCCCATCTCCTTATTATTTTGAAGCCCTAAACTCAGATCATTGTACTTCTTCTGTGTCAACACATTAATGTTTCGGTATGAAATATGTAGATGATCTCAAAACTCGTTTGCCACTGTACAATTTGAATATATTGTTAAAGAAAGGACACATCTATATACATTTAGAGAGAGAAATGTCTAAGCTCAGAGCAACAAAAGAGGTTGATTGGCCGTTTTCTTTTTATTTTTTCATATGTTTATGCATATATAGATATATATATAGATATATATATACTGTTTGTTCCTTTTATTTTCATGTTCTGCTGAGGGGGATTCTTTGGCTGTGCCAAACAGAGGAAACCCCGGCATCCCCTGTCATTACAAATTCAGCCCGCCGCGCTGGTCTGGTGGAGTGTGACCGGCGCTCTCGCCTGGAGCTCCTCCACATCACGCTCCCCACCGCCGGCGCCGCTCAGGGCGCCGAACCCCCCCCTGCTGATTAGAAGCTTTATCTTCTTTCTTATTTTCCCCACCTCTCTCTCTCTGGTCGTGCCACCCGAGGCCCGCGCCGCAATTAGTTTGATTGACACCTCTGCGTGTTTGCGCTCCTTTGTGAGCGTGCGGGGAGGAGAAGGAGCCCCAGGCACGGCGTGCAGGCGGCCCCCCCCCCCCTGGTTTCAAGCCTCGCTACCGTTCCTTCAAGGAATACGCGCACATCCACCCAGCGGCCCGAGGCGGCTGCGTGTAGGGTCAGGTACGCCCCAGGGCTCCTGGCAGAGCAACAGTCAGGGTAAAGACCTGAGCGGCCTGGTGGGGCTTTTTTCTTTTTTCTTTTTTCAAATCTTGTTTCAATTCCATAAACTTCCATCTCTTCGGTGCTTTCTGGTCTCCTCCACTGACATTTGAAAAAGGCCTGGCATCACCAGCAGCAGGGGTCCCGTCCAGAAACAAGTCTCAGAACAAAAGTCCTTAGAGGTGCTCACAGAACTGGGTGAACCAAGTGGCAGCTTTTTCCAGGCAGCTAATTTAACAACCAGTGATCTCCGGACGCTCTCCGTCCAACACTGCGTTGATGGAATCAGTCGTAAAAAAGCTCAAATCTCGCACTGTTGTTTTCGTGCGAATCCAGGTAAGCGTAGAAGGACGTTTGCTGCCATGTAATTTGCCGGGAACTGCGGGGATTTGTTTGTGGACGGGCCCGGCCTCGGTTTTGGTGCTCCGGCTTTGCGAGGCCTCCGTTTCCGGCCCTCAGCGGAGGGGGGAGGAGAAACAAAAAGGTGCTATATGTCCCCCAACGCAATGGCCGTTTCTCCTCACCGGTCCTCTGATCATGACTTCATTTTTTGTACTCATTGTTATGTTGTAGAACATGAAAATAAAAAACAAAACACTGCCTCAAGTCTCCCAAGTGTCCGGACACAAGTTCAGTTAGCGTGTGGCTCACAAACCCCCACCGTTCTCCTGCTCCATCCATGTTTGGGGCTCAAAATGAGATTGTTTTCTGTGAAATACTGTTTCTTCTGCGTGAGCACTGGAGTGCTCTTGATTCAAAACGGAAAGGTTTACAATTTGACTTTCGACATGACAGTTTATAGTCATGGGTGCTGGACGTGCTTTTCCTGGAGCTTTTGACTCATGACACTGAGTCTTCACCGGTATTCCGACGCGATCGGCATCCAATAATCTGTTAGCGTTACAATATATGGTTAAAATTATGTCAGAATCCTTAAATCAAGTCAAAAGAAGCCTCAAGTCTTAAAAGCTGATTATCTGATCCAGAATTGTTCAACCTGGTGCTAAAAATGTTAAATAATGGGGGTTTATCACATTCAAATCATTAACTAGCAACTTGTCATTAGGACACTATGTGAGTTGAAGCAGTCAATCACCTATTTGATGATTTTCTCAATTTTATTGCATAGCATTTTATTTTAAATTGGCTGAATGATATAGTAATGAAATCTTATTACATATAATTACAATTCACAGACATTTTTTTTAAGGTTTCTTTGTTCAGTTTTTTCTAAAGGGGGGGGGTGGGTGATTACACAAATGGGAAAACTTCCCACTAATCAAAGCCCAGTGGTCCCTCCATTGGCGGTCAGACGGAGACGTGAACAGCTCAGTTCAAAATGAAAAGGCTTCTTTTTAGGCGCTCCAGTGAGGCTCCGAATAAGTTCAGAGGAGGTTCGGCTGTGTTTAAAAAAAAAAAAAAGACTAATCTCTTTGAATCTGGCTGTTGTGACAAACAACTATTAGTCCCACGGAGGGGACGTGGACGCCTATAAATCAGACTATGTAGGTTCTTAGTATGTCAGAGAGCAGTTTTGCTATTCTGTTTGTCAGGCAGAGAACATTTGAGGGGTGCTTTTCCGTCTCAAATTCCGGATGGAATTTTGAAATTTAACCAGATTTGACCAGAAATCTGACCAGATTTAACAAATTCTCGAGTTGGTGGTTTGACTGTTTAGAGTTTTCTGCACCTCAAACCATCAGAGGGGAAATGTAGCAGAGATTTAAGGGGTACTGGAGAACTTTCGGGCTAAAACTGTCAGACAAAGATTATGATGCCCCTTTTTAACGCTCAAAACAGATGTTCTAACCATGCCTAGCACGCCTCGGCCTCCTCCGGATCTGCTCGCCTATGTTAAACGGCTCTGAAACCTCCTCATGGAGCTCAGAAACCAGCCCCCGCCATAAAGACATGTTTTCACAGCAGAATTAAAACCGCTCCCACCAAGACCACAACAGGAGGTCTTGTTGCTCCAGAGAGAGTGACAGGAATACTTATGAGGAGGGTTTTTTTCTCTTTATTTCCCCCTTTTCCCGATGTGTTCACACCACTGCTGCCTGCTTAGAGCCCAGCTTTGATTTACGGCCAGAATAAAAACTAAATTGCATTATTTCTGCTTATACGGGTGATGTGTAAAATCATCTCCGGTGAGTTACGATTGGACTTCTCCGCGTGCGTGTCCGGTGTAGTCCGCTGGCCAACATTTGCACGCTGACAGTTTTATAAGGACGGCTTGTTTATGTCCCCCGATCCCCGGTGAGATCAATTCCTCATAATTGACAATACTTGTGCGTAAACAAGAGGCTTGACACTTACTATACCCCGTATCATCTATGTATAGGTCAATATATGCTACCGTATAAACAGATTAGCTGCAGTACGATATATCAGTCGGTGTGTGTCAGTATGTGGATGTGATATGACTTTTTATTCTCCAAATTCGTGCTTGTGTCGGGTTGGATTTTTGCCTTTAGCAAGGAATGCTTCCTCCTTGAGCTCTGTGGTTTCTGATTAGCCAGCCGCCACCTTCCTAGCAGGTGATAAAAACACAACGGGGCGGGGGTTTATTGTTGTTATCTGCCCCCTCTCTCACAGACCTGCCTGCGTTGAGCAGATACACCAGCGCCCAAAAGGCCAAAGGTCACGCGAGGGAAGGAATCCTCCCGTGATCCGGAATTAAAACGGAGGAGGTTTTTTTTTAAATGGTCCGGAGCGGCTGGCGGGTTCCATCTTTTTCTCCGTCCGGCTGCCACTTCGGACGCCGTCGTTCATAAGAGGAGGAGGGTCTCTCCCTCCTCAATCCGTTTATTAATTTGTTCGGGAAGGCGAGCAATGAGGAGAGGTGTGGGATAAAGAGGGTGACCGTGCCTCGCCCACTTCGTGTTTGGAGGGAGTCTTGAATGTGCCTTGAGGAACGTGGAGTTTCACCACGTTGTGTGTGGTCGAAACTCTGGACGTGTGTCGCCGTAATAAGCGCACACACACACACACACACACACACACACACACACACACACACACACAGTGATGACGAAAGAATGTTTTCCGCTGCTGGCTAGTCTGAGTGCTCTCTGGATGTAAAAGTCAGAGATTTGTAACACAAAGTGTCCTGTGAGTTGCGTTCAGTGGCCACTTTGGCTTCTTCTCGGTTCCGGAGAGACGTTGCAAGACAAGGAGGGACTTTTTTCTACTCTTCGCTGTAACTTGTAAACTCCTTTTTCGATCCAGAAACCGTGTTTCGGTGTGTGTCGGTGTTCGTCCGATTCTTATTTTTCTCTCGTTTTTCTATCTCTTTGTTTTCCCAAACATGGCTCCTTCCTCCCTTTCGTAAAAAGGGCTTGTAGAAAAGTGTGTGTCGACGTGAACAGTTGCTGTTGTGGTGCGATCTACAGATGTTTGGGAAATCAAGGAAGCCTCACTGAGCAAACAGCATGTGAAACAGTCGGTGAGGTGATCCGGTTTTAGCGCGGAGCCCATAAGTGGTATCCATAGGAACCTGAACAGACATCACTCACTTTTTTGTGTAGATGCTAGTAAATATTAATTAGTCCTAACAGGCAGACGGGAGAAAAACGCTCCCATCAGGTCGAGTTCTGTCATTGGATTTAATCACCAAATATCAAATTGTCCAATTGTTCCAGGGCTCCTTCCGTCTGAACTCGAATATGCAACAGAGAACCGGATCATCTCATTGGCTGTTTTGTCTGATTACAATCATATAGACCTCAAGAACTCTTCTGACTATCGCACTGGATTTTTACACCTTTTTCAAAACCGTATACTGCTCTGTTCTAACTGTGTTTTTTAATGCTGCATGTGCATG